GACCTAATCACAAAAATTCAAACATCCCTTGACAACAACAAGTTTTCTAGTGTCATCTTTATAGACCTAAAGAAGGCCTTTGATACTGTGGACCATAAAATACTCATACATAAATTAGAAAAAATCGGTATCCAAGGGCCCTTAATTGAATGGTTCAAAACATATTTAAAAGGTCGACCACAGAAAGTCAAAATTGAAGATGTTCTCAGTATAATAATGGAGATTGTATGTGGGGTTCCTCAAGGATCAGTTTTAGGTCCGCTACTTTTTATATATATATGATATTGGTGAAATTCCCCTGAAAGGTAAACTCCAATTGTATGCTGACGATGCAGCGATTTTTTATGAAAGCCAGAACCAAGAAATAATGTATGAAGAAATGACAAGTGATCTCTTAATTCTGAAGAAATGGTTCAATAGGAATAAACTAAGCTTGAACTTGAAAAAGACAAACTACATTATCTTCAAAAGACCACTTTGGATTGCACCACAAAAAGAAATAAAAATCGACAACCAAGTAATAGAAAGAGTAACCACAGTAAAATATCTAGGATTAATTTTGGATGAACATTTAAACTGGAACGAACATGTTAAGAAGATCATTCCCCAACTAAAAGCTGCTGCAGGGCTAATTTATAGACTTCGAAAAATTTTAAATATGGATCAACTTAAACTTCTCTACTTTGCGTATTTCCACTCCCATATGAGCTATCTATGTCCCTTTTGGGCTGTCTCAAACAATAAGCATCTTCAAAAGATTTCAGTCCTTCAAAATAGTGTGTTAAAAACAATTCTGGGGGTGGAGAGAAGGTTCTCAACCAAACTAATTTATGCAAAAACTGGTGTTGTTCCCCTAGAGGTCCTTGTTAAGATCAATCTGGCTTCAATCATTTTTAATCATGTAAATAATCAGAAGATTTTAAACACAGAAGTTACTTTTCATAATCAAGTTCATCTCCATAATACAAGAAATGCTGCTAATATCGTAATACCAGCAATCTCAACAACCCATTATGGTTCTAAAAGTATCCTCTATAATGCAATTCGTTTGTATAACCAGATTCCAGACATCATTTAATCTTCAAGAAACATACGTATCTTTAAGAAGAAAGTCAAAGAAGACTATCTCCAGAATTTCTTCAGCAATCTATATAGAAAAGCCTTTTAAT